TCGATTTCATCTCCACTTTTTGTTTTTACTAAGGAAGACGTGTACCACCTTTCAATAAGATACTATACTCAATTTTATAATGAAAAAAAGGCCAAGTCGTATGCACAGAACTTACTTGGATCAAAATCAGGAATTTCATAGTAAATATTAACAAACTCTTGATCTTCCCGCACGACAGTGCGCATTGGATCTGGATCATAGTATATAGCGGTATTAGCCGTAACTTTCTTGAGCGTAGTATGCTCCAAACGGCACAGAACATCTTTGGCTTTCTCCACATCACGTGCTGGTTTACCGGTTAAGAAGACAGTCAACGAAGGTGAGCGTGGACGTTTAGATACGTTGATGATCTCCTTCAAACGTGGCACACCCAAAGTAACATTTTTTGCCGAAACACCGGCGAAGTGAAAAGTATTCAGCGTCATTTGTGTCGCTGGTTCGCCCAACGACTGGGCAGACAGTGCGCCTACCATTTCGCCAGGACAAATTTGTGAGAGCTGAAAACGAGTAGCAATTTCGCCAAGCAACATTTCAAAAGATTCGGGCGTTAAGTGATGGCTTTCGGCTACCACTTTGGAGCAGAGAGTAGATCGTACCAAGCACTGAAAGAGAAAAGTGGCATTGTCGTTGGCCTGCTGCGAAATGTGATCGGACCCTGCCACAATGACGCATTGGTTAAGCAACTCACGTACGCCTGGAAGAGCGGAAAGTCATGAATTATTTTTAAAAACTTTTTTTTTTAGTCATAATTGTACCTTTAATAACGTCCAATGGATTGAGAGCAGTTGTAGAACGTTGGTCTACATGGAATATTTTTTGCACATTCCAAATCATACGCTGCAAGTTGCATGGCAATACCACCTTTGAATCACCGGTTGGGAAAATTTGACGTAAGGCTTCGCGGTCCTGACACAATTGCTCCCACTCAACCTCCAGATGTGCAATAATCTCCGTAGATTCGGTGATTTCACGAACGGTCTCTTCGTTGAAATATTTTCGCAAATTCCGTGTCTGAGTGACGTCGAATTTGAATTGCTTTTCGAATGCTTTGTTCGAAAGCTGTATGGTGGGCAGCGTTTGAAATTCCACCGACTCACCACAGAGGCCGTCTTCGCCGTAACGTAGCTGTATAATTTGACCCTCAGCATTGCGTACTGTGCCATCGTACTGAACCATCACCGATTCCATGGCTTTGATTAAACGCCGCTGTATGTAACCCGTTTCTGCAGTTTTCACGGCTGTATCGATAAGACCTTCACGTCCGCCCATTGCATGGAAGTAGAACTCACTTGGTGTTAGGCCCGCTAGATATGAATTCTCGATGAAGCCGCGCGCCTCTGGCCCATAATCGTCTTTGATAAAGTGTGGCATTGTACGTTTACGAAAACCGTAAGGTATACGTTTACCTTCGACGTTCTGCTGGCCAACGCAGGCAATCACCTGTGATATGTTAATATTAGAACCCTTGGAACCTGCGATTACCATGGCCTGAAAATACCTGAGTGTGCATAAAATATTTCACAATTACAGTTGCTCTGACTACCTTCAAGTTGTTATATTCCGTAAGCGATTTCTTTGCGGAGCCACCCGTCTTATCGCGTGCATCATTCAAAATGCGATTAACTTGATTTTCGAATGTTTGGCGCAGCGTGTTGCCCGGTGTAGGCTCCAACTGCATATGATGTGCCTTCTGTATAACCAACATTACATCATTCTTAGCTTTGGCAATGGCGTTTTGTATCTCTTTGTAAGTGGCCGGATCGGCAATGGTGTCGCCAATTCCAATACTGTGACCTTCGAGTAAAAGCCAAGCGTTGACAACCTTTTGTATATTTGCATAGAATTCTCCAGCGATTTGATGCCCGAGCTCGATGTAAGCAATGTGCAAGAGGGATCCAGCGGTGGCACCCAGTGTGCGTTTACATAAGATACCCATAATTAGTTCACTGTATTCGACAATTACCTGTGATGATTTATGTTAATTAAGCTCGTTAATTAAGCCACCAAGTTTTGCTATCTATATGATATTACTCCTCTTAAACATTGCCATCATATCAGACTTCAAGGGGTTACTTACGTGAAGAGCCCTCAAACTCGACCTAACATTGGCAGTAAGGAAAACGGATCTAATATGGGAGTAAAAGAAGTTGATTCACACAAATAGCGGGTAATGGACTAACTCATGAAACTTGAAGCAAAATAAACGGGATTTGGATTCACACAACTTAAGTTTTTCAGCACTACATCAATATTTCAAAATTGTAGAGTTGGAAAAATTAGCAGTAAATTTGTTTGAATACAAGATTGGTCTATTTCAAAAGTTAACAATTTAGATGTCAAGTAGACACTGTGTGATGGTCTCTATCATCGTATGATTTGGAAGATGTAACATTTGGGAAAATGAGCTTAAGCTTTTTGTGCTGAGAGTACCGATCCGAACGCTTCGGCAATAAAGCGAATTGAATCGGATTACTTTCTTATTCCAACAATTCTTGACTGGCCTTAAGGGACACACCAAATTTGAAATGCAATAAAAAAACTTCTGTTTCGTATTTCATTAGCTCACACTTTTAAACATTTTTAAACCGATATCTCAAATAGCTTTGGAGTTACAGCCTTCCATGTTCAAATAGTTCCATTAGCTCCATCAGTTTATCTATATTATCATTATCAGATTTCTTCCGCATTTTTGCATATCGTTTTCCTACAATGGCCTAACATTTTTCCTATCTGATCAAAAATCGAAATTTGACAGGCCAAATTTTTTTTGGTTAAATTCAACTTTGTTTTTAAATCGCCTCTATTTTGTTAATTTTTAATTTTTCAGGTTTTATCAAAGGAGAAGGCCAGAATCACTTCAGCAGTGGAAGAACTTATTATGTTTAGTGTCTTCGGAGATCGCATGAAACTCGAAAAATATGTATAAATTCTTTAAATTGTAAGACATGTATACTATACTTTTTTCCTTATTCCTAATAACATTTCTAATATTGGTTTGAAATTATCTGACCAAGATAATTTACTAATAATATAATCAAAGGCTTCCGATGAAGTGGGTCTTGAACGTGGTTTTACACTAAAAGTTTGCTGAACCTCAAATTTTAGCAATTATAACATAACATGTCCCACTAGAACTCATAAGATAAGATGTGAGATATTTTTACAATTAAGAAAGAGGAAATTTTGTAAGATTTTCCTGACGAAAATAATTAAATCGAAAAATCGTCATGTGTCAAAAAATATACACATTCAAAAATTGGCCTACCTTTCTAATTCCCGAAATTGTTTTACATTTGTACGTACTTTGGTATCACCCGGAGAAATCCAACGGTATTGACTATCGTCTTCTTCATCAGGATGCGTTGAATGAGTGCGTATCATATTCAAATTTCCCGGTATGATTAAGGAAAAAAGCTGCTTGCCCGACCACAAAAGTGTCGGTTTCAAAATACATGGCTTCGGCATCACACCATCCCAACACGGCATGTGCATCAATAAATTCATCAGTTGTTCGTGAGTTATGAAGACATCGCGTTTGGTCATCTTGCATACGCCTGTCAAGCAATCCTGCACAATCCCCATAACCGGCTTATTTGTTTGCGGTGTGACAATTTGTCGTGGTGTCAGATGAAGATTTTCAATTTCGGCGCGTGTCTCCATGCTCTGAGGAACATGTAAATTCATTTCATCGCCATCGAAATCGGCGTTATAGGGCGAGGTACAAGAGAGGTTCATCCGGAATGTGGACCAAGGCAGTACTTTGACGCGGTGACCCATCATCGACATTTTGTGCAGCGTTGGTTGGCGGTTAAAGATCACCAAATCGTTATCGCGTAAATGGCGCTCGATTTTGTAGCCAAACTCTAAATGTAAATCACTGGGTTTTGGATGGAAACGCAAATCGATGCGATCGCCATTACTACGTATTATATACTTAGCGCCTGGGAATTGCGTATTGCCGCGTTGAACAAGGGTTTGCATAAGCTGGTTTTAAATTTTATATTATATATAAGTATATATAGGTATAATATTTTTTTTTTTATATGTGTGATATATTAAAGAAATATTCCAATTAAGTTAGTGTTTACCTCAATATTGAATGGTGTCACTACTTCGGGATAAGTCAGATTCTGTGCAACAGATCTCGGTACACCCACTTGATCGATATTTAAATTCGGATCCGGCGTAATTACGGTACGTGCTGAAAAGTCTACACGCTTTCCCATTAGGTTGCCTCGTATACGTCCTTCCTTACCCTTTAGACGTGCTTTGATGCTCTTCAAAGGACGGCCTGACTTTTGTAGAGCTCGTGGTAGGCCAGGCATTTCATTGTCGATTACTGTAACTACATGAAATTGCAACAGCGACGAACACTCTCTAATTAGATGGTCTGCGGCGCCTGTTTCAATGCATTTCTTTAGCTCATTGTTTGCTTTGATAATGTCCGCCAATTTATGTGTAAGGTCATCGTGCGAGCGTGTACTTCCATACATCAGAACGGAAGGTCGCACAGAAAGTGGTGGTACTGGCAGTACTGAGATGAGCAACCAATCAGGCCGACAGTGTTTCGGATCCATACCTAAATAAATGCAATCTTCATCGGAGATATTTCGGAAAATTTCTAATACTCGCTCCGCAGTCAATATGATTTGGCGTTCTTGTCGATGTTCGGTTAAACGTTGCCAAGTGGCAAATAGCTCCAACTTGTGTCGAGTAATGCGCGGCTGATGCTGCCCGCAACCGCCATGATCTGAGATGTTTCGTTCGTTGTTGCAGGTCATAGGAATGTCAATATTTTCGCCACCTTCGCATATTGTCTTGGACTTGCACAATTCTCGCATAAGGCTTAAGCGCATGCGTGGACGTGCTTTGGTGCGATTCAGCATTTCCTTAACCTAAAAAGTAGCAAGCTTTTATTTAAATGCGCAATGATATTGAAATGTTTCGTTTTATAAATACTTTTGCATTTGTCGGTGACACCAATAGTTTGGAACAAGAAAAGCACACACAACGTAATATTTTAATTGTTTTTAGAAAGAAACCAATGTGAAATACTGGTAAGCTTAATTCAATGTGTCCAAAATGGCCGGGACAGTCCACGATATTACCAGCACATGTAAGGCAGCGTGACTCTCGATCCAAAACTCCTTGGCGAGGGTCCATTAAACCACCTAATGCTGGTTTCCCATCTTCTACAATAACTGCACGTGTGATACCACCTTCCGTTACCGATAATCGTTTGATTTCATCCGGGGAAAGCACTCCAAATTGTATGGCCTTCACATTTCGCGTAACACAACCGACATTCATTATTCTTTTTGATTTTCAAATTGTCCTCATATAAATTCAAAATCTATTAATCTCAATGTTTTTATTGTAATTCAATTGATCTTTATTAACGTTTCTCACAAATTAAATCACGATTTTCTAATTTGCCCAAAATAAAAATTAACGAAGCGGATATTTCATTTCGAACCTGCTGTACGGTTACGTAGGGTGTGTTCAGTTGCAAAAGACGCGTATGTTATATGTTTGACATTTGTCATTTTCTCAACTTCCGTCATTTAACCATCAAATTCGTGTATTAGGAATTCACGATAATTCAACGACATTGAATAAATCAGATGATTTTAGATGTGTAATTAAAGTTCTTTATTATTTACATAAAACTATGCAAAGAACATAGAATGAAACGATTTACAGAGAAAGTGCATCATGAGCAACAAAAGGAGGTGGTTTGGGTAATGCGCGAGGATATTGACGAACAATCAGATCAAGCTGTTGCAAAACGGAAATCAAATGGGGAACAGGAAGACGATTCTCTTAAAACACCAATTGTGTACTCAAAAAGTTATGAAGTGCGATTTTGCGGTATGGAAAAATTGCATCCTTTCGATGCGGCTAAAGGATCACACGTATTGAAAGTAAATGCTTATTTTATTGTATTTAAAGAAATCAATAAAATTTCCGCTATTGCAGTTCTTACTTCAAAATGAAATATTTTGTCCCGGACGATTTTATGAGCCCAGTGAAATAACAAAGACTGAGCTTCAAAAGGTCCATACACGCAAATATTTACGCAGCTTGAAGGTACAATATTTCCTTTAGAAAATATTTTTGTTAAACTCTATCGTATCACTTCATTAAAGTGGAGTGTGAATGCAGCAAAGATATCGGAAATTCCTTTGCTACTTTTTGTACCTAACACGTTTGTACAGCGTGGCTACTTGCGCCCCATGCGTTTTCAAACTGCTGGGTCTATATTGGCCGGTAGTCTGGCAATACGTTATGGATGGGCTATTAATTTGGGCGGAGGATTTCATCATTGTTGTGCCTACAGAGGTGGTGGCTTCTGCCCCTATGCAGATATTACTTTGCTTATCACAAAAACTTTAGAAGAGGAGCCAAATATTGAGACAGCAATGATTGTGGACTTGGATGCGCATCAGGGAAATGGACACGAACGTGATTTTTACGAGAATGAAAAAGTATTCATTTTGGATATGTACAACGCTTCCATATATCCACGTGATCATGAAGCCAAACTGGCCATAAGTTGTGCGGTGGAACTCAAACCACGCACAGCGGATGGAACTTACATGAAAAAATTGAAAAGGTAAAGTTTGCACAAGAACTAAAAACAAAAGATTGTGTTTCAGTTACTTTCTTTTATTGTTTAGTTTGTTATATTGAAATTTCTAGTATTAACTATTAACACTCAAATGAAATTTTCAAAATTATTTTACACAGATCTCTAAAATATGCTTTGAGTGAGTTTCGTCCAGACTTATTGGTATACAATGCTGGTACGGATATACTTTTGGGCGATCCTCTGGGCCATTTATGTATAACACCAGAGGTATGTTTGTACGATTTAGTAAGGTTACTTTAATTATAAATCTTCAATTCCGTTGTTTACATCATCAAATACAGGGTGTTATGGAACGAGATCAATTCGTTTTTGCTACTTGTCKTGAGGAACGCATTCCAATCGTAATGTTGCTCAGTGGTGGCTATTTAAAGTCCTCTGCTAAGGTTATTGCCGAATCAATTGTTAATCTCAAAACGAAAGGCCTGCTTGTCTGCTAAATTCTTGTTTTGAAAAAGTCCTTATTGAAAAACTAATTATATACACTTATGTTTTTCTTTAGGATTGAGAATATAAATATATAAACAATTGTAACTACATTTTGGCTATTTAAAAAAGACACAATGAAATAAACTGGAAGCATTTTAGTTGATTCAGTATACCTTGTCACACAATCTTTTAGCCTTTCCAGCTTAACTGTAAAGTTTTGAATTTCAGCAATAAATTCAATATCAACTCAATCCGCAAGAAAAAATTTCGGTTAAAGTATTATCAAACTTAATACAATCGGGCACAATCCTTTAGTGTTCTTAGAGGAACAATGTTTTGCATATTTCTTCTCCAAAAACCCCCTAAAATCATCTCCGCACATCGGTTGTTTCTCTACGCCCCTGGCTATGGGCGCCCACTGTGCCAGTGTCGAGAATAACAAAAAACTACACCGTGCCAAACGTAAATAACTCTGCTCATGATATAAAATGGAAAATATTATGATTATAGTAGATAAAAAGACCGTTTCATGAATTTTACTTCTTAATGATACAATTTACCAAAAAATAAAACGGTTTTTTAAGTATAAATAATATTGTATATATTATGTTATCATTGAAAGATATAAAAGGATGTTCAGTTCATAAAAATTATTTTGGCTTTATTTCGTATTCTCATAAATTAGCAGTGTATAATATTATTGTTCATACTAGAAACACATTGTATGCATGCAGCTACGCATTTCCGAGACAAAACACATTTTCGAACTGTAAAAAATGTTACATTGTTATTGTTTCTTAGTCTGTTTTTATTATGAATGATAAATAAGGTATGTGAGGAGTGGCCTGTTGAGGCCTTTTCTTATATATTTGCACATATATAGTATATGTGCATTATTGTTTTATTTAATTTGCTCTGCATTAAAGTTATAAGCGCTTATACATATTAATATATTAATAAATTATTTAATTCGTCTTAATATATAGAGACAATTTACTTAAAATTATACATAGAATATCAAATATATAAATCCGTTAGGGAAAATGAAAAGTGAAAGATATGATTTACAGTTATCAAAATAGGGTAGCTTACATTACTTGAAACAAAAACTCACACAATTGCTTTCAATATTTGTAACAAACTATTAGCTTGGGCAGACATTATCCTAACTATAATGTAGTATACGCAAATCTGGAAACATATTTGGTAATACAAATTTAATTAGTTAAGAATTGGAATACCATATTATCGTATACATAAACATATGGGTTAGTTTGTTATTGTGTCAATAAAAATTAGTTCACAAAACAAAAGAAATGATTATACGCTAATGGGACATACACCAAGTTCACATAACTGATAAAAAAAAAGTGCATTCAAATAGTGAATAGGTAAGGGAATTCATTTACATTAAACAATTTTACAACGCATAAAGACTTTGTATTTACTAAAATATGTTTTTGAACCCCTGATTTTACGTACATACATATGTCTAAACACAGCATAGCTTATAATTTAAATTTATGATTTTAAATCTTTACGTTAATTTAACTATATTTTATGATATCATGGTTTCTATTTTGGTAAAAATGTAACAACTTGGCAGCAGTCTTTGAGTGTAGTATGTACGGCAACAGTAGTGTGCGTTTCAGTATGCATCAGCTTGTGTCGAGTTGTACATATTAGGTTACCAATTAACGAGTGCTCTAGTGTATGCTGATGATGAATGCTCTAGCGGTTAATCATAATAGACGGGACATTAGTGAAGAGGATTGGTGATGGTGATGATAATGCACGTGATGGTTATGAGCGGACGATACATTAATTAGCTGTTTAACCGAATGTATGTGTTTCGACATTTCCAATTAAGCACATATATATAAATAATTTCAATTAGAGAGACGGTCTTGTCATTTATGTTTACAACGTATTGCTTTTGCATAAGCTTTGGTTATTAACAAGCAGTCGGAGCCGTTAACCTAGAAAAAGGCAACAAATATTACAAATCTGTTAACAATAGAACATGGTGAATAGCGCATTTCATACAAATGAATACACACAATGCATTCCAGCTGAGATGATGATTGTTTAGTAGGCATGCCTTTTGCGGTACATTTCGACCGTTTTGAAATCCTCCAAACATGCATGCAAACAATTCAGCATAAATACGCATATAATATTATGATCAGGGTTGCGAATTTTTTATTCCAACGTTTTAGAACAAATATTAGCTTAGACATCATCCGCATTAAAAATTTATGAAAACATTTATTTTTAGATTGGTATTAAAAATTAAATTTTCAATTTGTAATTCCGACTTTGGGTTAAAAATTTAATTATTTTTTGTTTTAATAGTAAAAATGGAAAATTTAGTTTTTAATCAGAATTAGAAATAGTTTGAATGAATAAGTTTACAAATCAGTGTTCTAGAGTATTAAAGACGATGACTGTGCGAACTCTATTTCGAAATGGTATAACACCAAGAAAGCAAAAAGTCAGTTCTAAAACATTTTTTTTTTTTTCAATTATATGATTGGGATTAATTTTTTTCAATCCCGTCTTTGAAATTAAGAATTAAAATTAAACTTTTAATCCGTTTTTTATTTATTTCTTATTTTTAATCCCGTATTTGAGACTATAAAATAAAAAAATCAAATAATTAAAATGTCAGTTAAATTTTTTTGATTATTTGCAACCCTGATTATGAAACATAATAACTAAGATAGAGGAATGTATAATTTTTTCGCATCAGCATTCGAGTGTGAGGAGTCTGAAGTATAGCAACGAGTAGACAAATCGGAACTACTCTATGTACAAATTCAGGATACAAACTTGGTTATTAACTGATGAGTTGTGAAATACTATAAACATGCCAAATAAGCCAGTATTCCCAAGATGCTTTGTAGAACTACTTACGCATCGGAACTTGTCGTTGCGCCTTCGAAAAGTACTTCTGAGCGGCTGCTAATAATGTAGACTAAGCAAAATGATATGATCAACACAACAATTCCAATGGAGAGTGTGACGATCTCGTGTACTCTGGACGGACGTAGGAACATACGTGCTTTGAGACCGCCCCAGGTTGATTCAGTCCACGTTGAGTATTGGCCTGATTTCCAGTCGTAATCTATTAAGAAATACGGATATTTTGATGAGCCCAACACGATCAAATAAAATTAATTTCTTAAATATGGCAGTTCTCAATTGATTTCGTGAACGTACCATCTATTAAAAACGCCGGACTTAGAGCGTGAGTATAATTCTGCGTTGTCAGGCGACATTCGCCGGCACCCTTTTGCCCAGTAATCCACTGCAATGGCAAAGGTCCACACTTCTCTTCCCCTGAATCCGCTACTTCGGTTGACAATAATAATCCTAAAACGCGGTACGTCCAACCAGATGAGTCCTGTGGGCTACCGGCAACGCTGATATAGCTGTAAATATTTTATGTTTAATTCTTGCAATTTAGTTTTAAATTTAAATTCACACATACCGTGATGGTGGAAATGGTAGTCCTGGCAGGCTATTGACTGGTGATGCATCTCTAAATAGTCTACAATCAGCAGACTGTAGAAAGCAATGCAGCAGCTCATCTACTAATACAGGACTTGCATAAACTTTCTCGAGTGGTCCTTTGCTAAAAAGCATTTCTGACAAGGCCAAGGCTACACTCGTTGACACATTACGTATTTTCATTTGAACTGAATCAGCTGAGAAATATTGCAGTGCCTCTTCTGTGGACATGAGTTTCGCGTAATTTTGTTCGGTGTGGTTACCGTAAGTGAAATTAAGGTTTGCCGCGTTGTCATATATTGAGTGATAGTATCTGTTCTGCGGCTTTGAGTTTAAGATCAAGGCAGGAAATGACAGATTTTTGCGCAGGAAAGATTGCGCTGACGTGGGTGGTATATTAGTTCCCACTTTTAATTCAAACTTAATATCAAAGGTTTGACTTTGCGCATTTAATGCAGCTGCAAAAGATTCAGCCTTTGCAGATGTATTTACGGTGTGTACATTTATTGTCGAGATTTCATCCAATACACCAATATCGATCATTAACTCGATATTTTCAAAAGAAATTGGAGCTGTTAGTGTTGATGGCAAGGGGAAATCCAAGTTTTCTAGATCGTATACAAACCGTTGTGAGCCGATATAATCATACGATTCGCCATTAAATACAACAAAAAGTATGTTCAGTTTTCTTGTTAATTCCGAATAATTCTTAGGAAGATATTGCTTAAGTGTGTTGGCAATGCTCATCAATGTCACATAGCCCGTCAGTGAATCCATAGCGCCCAAACCTTGAAAGCGAATTAATGAAAAATATTGATAAAAAAATATATAAACCCAAAATACAGAAAAAAAGAGGTTGCTCACCTAACCCATCAAACATGGACGACGTATCCATTCTACAAGATATTAGAATAAATTTTTCGTTCGGGTCTGAACGAATTTCTAAAGTCTCTTCTGCTATGGAACGTGATAAATTACGAGGGTACATTGTGGCGTAAACATTGCTTCCTTCCAGAGGATCACAGTATCTAGTTCGTGCTAAGTTGTTAATGAAGTTCGAACGACGAATGCAAACTTCAGAATTGACCGCCGCCGACATAAACGTTGTTACTTCAACAGCGCAAAGACTACGCGTGGTATGCCCATTGTAATCAAAGTTATTAAACTTTTCAAAGCACGATTTAAGCTTGTAGACTTCTTCCTCGTCTGCTATATAATAAATTGGAAATGGAAAATCTTCTTGTAACAGTCCAGTTCCCCAAGGATTCCAAGCATTCTCAGCATTTTGTGTATCGCAAGTTGCCGTTTCTTTGCTGTTTAGGAGCAATAAACCGCTATATTGATTCGGACAAGTGAGTTCATGTGAAAACTGTGTCATTTTTTCGTTGTCATTGATGAGCAATACTACGCTTATATTTTGTCGTGCTTCTTTTTTTAAGCGCAGCATATTTTGCCGAGTGAAGAGATGCGGTGGTATCATGGGCGCATATGGAGGCGCAGGTGGGTTTCGTAGTAAAAATTCAAAGTCTTCCACAACTTGTATAAGATGAAGTGCTCCTACAGAACCAAATTGGCTTGCTGTTGCAAAGTAGAGACAAAGTATTTAATGACGGACTCTCAATGTCTTTGCATGCTTTTATAAAAATTAGAATTTAAACTCACAAGAGCAGCCCGTTTGATGGGTTCCATTGAGGCGCCTGAAGCAGCTGGCTCCACTTATAGATGTGTACATTCCATCTTTTATGCGTTGACTTTGGCCTGCCACTAGTTATAGCGTGTAACAATATCGATAAGAAAACAAATGCAATGTAAAGTGACTCATTGTTGACAATCTGTACGTCTATTTATAAAATTCTAATAGATGTAAAGACTATAAATTTTATCACTACTTTTTACAAGCAGATAAATAAAAGTGTAGGCTTTATAATGGACCTTTTGTATAAGCAACAATTTAGATACTGAAATATCACCGCAAAAAATTAATTATGCATTTAAAACTTACCAAGCAAAATGTTGATGCTAATCACTTGTGAGATGAACAAAAAGATTATTCGAAGGTCCATTTCACCCTTTAAGCCGCTTTAATTATGAAAGACAAGAAAGTTTGCAGAAAATTTAGAATGCAATTCACTTGCTGCAGCTGACGACTGTTTTCTTTTGTGATAAATGCCAAAAGACATGTTCAAACCATGTCAGACATTAAACTGTATTGGGTATGTTAAGTGAAAATGAGTTTAATATGCGTTCACACAACAAGACTTTTGTAAGTTTTCGTAGTTTGTTGTCGATAGGGTGACAAGGAATTGTGAAGGGGACCAATCACTGGTGCGAAGGTGCCTTGCTTGTGTTCTTGTTCGGAACAATTCGCTCTTAACTAATTGACATTTTGACGTAAAACGTCTTTAAAATCGCGCCGAAACATTTTTACGTTTAAAAAGTGGACCGTAACGAAAAGGTCTATATCATCGTACCTTAATAATTAAAAAACTATTAGTCTTAGAAACAAAAATGTGGTGTGAATATTTGGCTTATATAGTCAGCTCGCTGTTATGACATTGTGTTCGTGTCGGGGTCCAGCGGGTCGGAGGGGGCGGCATACTGCGTTAACTGTGCGAAACCGGCGCTCTCACTTGTTTCTATTCAGTGTAACTCGTAACCCTTGTACCATGCTCCTAACTCCGACTTTATAGCACGGTGATTCTTTCGTGTTTTTGTCAAGTTTATTTAAACCGATTGATTTATACAAAAATAAGTGTAATTTGGACAGTATTTATATTTAAAATAACCAGAAAGTGATAATTAATATATAAACTTTTGCTGTCGGCCTCAGCTCATACAAGAGCCAGCAAGAAATATAAATAACGTTACAAAGAGGGGGCTATGGGCCACGCATAGGTACCCCAATGTCCGGCACCGAGCGAGGGAGACGGTTTCGGGAACGTCGCAAAGCTGCTGCCTCCGACCTCGCGATTACCTCTACCACTGGAATACCTATACTTATGGATGTAACGAATGAACATTCGATCGATGTTTCTATTGGATCTGCCACGGAACTGAGAGGTGTCAATATCAGTAGAAGTGAAGTATGCAAAATTATTGGCTTTCAGTGGACAAACGCTACAAAACGGTATTTGCAGCCAATTCGTTTGGTTTATCTTGCAGCGTTTGTAATCGCCTTGGGTTCGAAAGAGACTAAAAGAAAGTGAAACATCGCAATATTTCTTTCCTTCAAACAAAATTACTCGATGAAAATGTGACGGAATTTAGCTTATGCAGTACCTGTAGCAAATCGATAGATGCTAATAAAATCCCAACGCTCTGAATTGTCGATGCGAGGTTCTGCAATCTACAGTAACCCACAAAGCTCCACGAACTGTAGCAAAATCATCGTAAATGCGTACAAACCATGCTGAAATTCAGTCTTGAATGTTGGTGACATATGCCTGGTGGACGTTAAAGTCGAAGATCATACGCTGTTTATCCTCAGTGCCGTATATATACATTATAAGGCGTCGACTGAAGCTGTTAAGCTACGTCTTTATCAATCACTCCTGTCATATTCAGCAAACTTAACAAAAATAATACTGAACTCTCTCCGAACTTAATTTATATTTATATGTGCATTTGCAATGCACAAGAATTTCGTGCATTTAGCTGAATTTACCACATTTGCTAAAATTTTTTGCTAGTTTTTGACAGATGTCGCTTGAAGTCTGCCGCCTCCTTTGCGTTTATAGCATCAGAGGTAAGCAGCTTTATATTGCTAATTAAATTATGTGCAAGTATGTATCTTAAACAACGCACATTTTGCTATCCATTTTTCCAATATTCTTAACTTTTTCGGACACTTTTTCCGCATTACAATCAATTATTGCTATTAATTTCACTCCATTATCTTTTAACGTAGTTAATAATAAACGAATTTTTTCGTTAAATTTATATTGATTTTCCAAAAATACCAAAATTTATATTAATAATTTATCTTATTCATTTTTATTCACTTTTTGTTTAATAAGTAAACAAATTTCGCTATCAGCTGTCTAAATGCACAAGTCTGCCGTCTGTTGCCATAAAATTTCAATGCGTATTAGCGTTGCTTAAGGCGCATTAATTTTGCTCGTCTGTCAGGGTTAATAGACGTTTCACGTTAAAACCAACGGCCGTGTGCCCCGGCACAATCCCACACGATTTTTTTTCTTCCTGGGAGGAACATCTCACTTTGTAAACAGCTGCTCACATGATCATGCGAATTTATCCTATAATATGCTTCTATTGGATAGTTGAAAAAGTCGTTTCGTATTTTGTCAATAGATGACGTTGCAGTCGTATCCAGTGATACCAATAATATTGTGTTATACCATATAGTGTTGGCAAGGAGAGATTAACCTTCATTTAAAAAAATAAAAAATAAATTAAATTCGGGAAAGTTGCTGCTATTCAAAAATGAAAATGAAATGTGAAATTAATGAAGAAATTCGCTTTATTAAAAGAAATTTTTGTACAAAAATTTGTGAAGTTTACGGAGACGATGCAGTATCAATTCGTGTAGCACAACATTGGTTCGCCCGCTTCCGTTCCAGAAAATATTCAACCGTCATCAAAAAATTATAACATAACATTAAATTCCTATTTAAACATAAAAATGAATAAAACAGACGATCACTATAATCCACTTTAAATCCCACGTCAGCCGGTTCTACGTTACCGGAATTGACCCGATTTTTATCCGGCTAAGGGCTGATTTTTTCGGCGAATTATCTCCATTTGAATCGATGAGTTTTAGATTGTTCTATCACTGGAGTAACTTTTTGCAGTAGGGTTTCTCCGTAACCTCTTGACTCGTGCTGGCACTTACCGACAGCACCTTCAACCCATTCGCAATCCTATGGACGTAATCGTTGGCGAACGTCAATTACCCAAGGTAATCGCAGCGGCTATCGCTAGCTTCATCTCGGCTGGAATAGTCTCGGAACCCCCCCGAAAGCAGATGTGGCGACAAATTCCGCCACGGCCATCCTTGTGATTCCGTTCCCACGACAGTCGGGCCTACGTAACCAGAACGTACCCGGATTTTTATCCAGCGAAGGACTGTCAACTCGGCAGAATTCTGCCACTACAACAACAACAACATCCCAGAGTTGCAATTCAATTCAATGACCTCTTCAGACCCGAAGAATTTTGCTGGCAATTTACACGACACCCTTCGGTAGACAAAGGCAAACGATGTGTTACCCGACCTTTGGTACAGTCAACTCCACAATGCTACTTGAGGACATCAAGCAATTTATATTTCAAGCACTAGAGGGAATTTCTATTCCCTCGTATGCTGATGGTTACGCGATAATGACGTCGGGCAGAAGAATGTGCTCATAAGTATCCCCCCAAAATTCAAAGCGACCATATTCAAAAATCGGATGAAGGAGTACAATCAATGGAGTGGATGATATTAAAGTTTCGACTGTCAATAACCGTTAGATTTTAGGCGTGACACTAGGCAGCCTGTGTTTCTTCACTCCTCAAACGACCACAATTATTGACAATGTACAGAGCCTCAACAAAATCCTCAAGTCACTAGCCGACAGCATATGGGGAAAAGACAACGAAACGTTGTTGGCAACATAAAAGGCAATCGAGGCCGTCCTTAACCACGCCGTTCAAATATAGTCGCCTGGATGCATTGAAACGCAGACGAAGACGCTTCATATATGAGCTCTGGACTATAAAGGGACATCTCTTAACGTTTCCGATCGAACAACGGCACAGTGAGACACGTATGCTCCCATCAGTTTCTGCTAGGGTGTTATCGTAGAAACCGTCTCTGCAGTCGCTTACTTGAAGCGGAACCGTCTCCAAAGAACATCAAAACATCTTCCCTTAACTACGACTATGACACAAAACACTGATCGCCATATTGTTGACATGCACTGACCGCCATTCCAAGTGGAGCCATAAACACCTTCACTGACTCCCTCTCAGTGAATGGCGTACTTCGAGTCAAACCACCATCTGGTGCAGCTTCGTTCTGTATATTGTAACATATTACCAAATTATGAAGAATCGACTACAATATACCAAATATATGTCCAGCATGCAACGAGTCCCCGAATGACTCTAACCACCGCTTTGTCTGCCAAGCTAACCCTGCCATCTGACACCTCTCCCGCAAAGGACTTTAAAAATTACATTTCACTCAAAAAGTATGTTTCTAGGAGTAGTAAATACTCTTTATGTTCGAAACATTTCCCACGGTGCCTTATTTTATTTTAAGGTTTCCAAATTGTAGTTTATTTGTCCAGTTGCGGGATTTTTCTCCAAGAGCTCGACAAATTTTCCACCTTTCTATGGATTTGTACTTAATAATTAATTAAAATAGTTTGAAATTATAAATAAAATAGTTGTTTTTATCCATTTCCCACTTTCTGTTGATGTTTTCCCTAAGTAAATTCAATGTTTAACTACAACAACAGCAGTTGAAAGTTTTTATACTCTAGTCAATCCCAATAGCACAGAGTTGAAAACCGTAATACAAAAAAAAAAAAAAAAAGTTTTGAAGTTGAAAACCATAATATCGAGTTTCAAAACTTAAACCAAAGTGCAGTTGGTTTAAAAACCGTAATAGGTCCTTTAAATGTTAAAATTTTTTTTCTTTGTTGTTAAATCTGCTGCATCCTATCAGCTTGGTTTAGGTTATAATTAGATTTAATATGCATTGCAAGCCGAACTCCTAGGATCTGCATACAAAGAATACTAGAACGCAAGGAATGCTGTTTACAGTTTTAAACTTTTTTACTTTTATTTTATTTGTTAATTATACTACTACAATGTTTTCGAATAGAAATATAAAATGTCAGCGCTGTTAGGTTAATTTTCATGTTTACTGAACAACCATCAGTCGGGGAGCAATGTTCATCGACATTAGCTCCTGGAACAGCAACTTTGCGGCATACGGTAAACGAACTTGTGATATTTGAGTTTTGTTTTTGCAACCCTTGCACTCAAAAGTGTTATTACGCAAATTAGCAATGGCAATGAGGCCACAGAAATTGCACACATGTATACGATATGGATCGGAAACTTCAAAAAGACGTTCGCGCAGAAATTGTGCAGCTCCATGAGATATCTGACAATCACGTTCCATCTCACCGAAACGTAGACCACCATCACGTGCCCT